GTCTGCGACTAAGAGGGGATACCCACCGACTTCTCGAGCACCGTTAAACATCGTTAGTAGACCCTGTGCTCGTAGTTGTGAAGCAATGGAGAGTGCACTAGTTAATGCGTTGGTCTTTATCAATGATATTTTTGGATACCACATCGGTGACCTACACTTCACCGAATTGAAAATACGAGAAAGTCAACGGGAGTACTTGGACATGTAGTGTGTAATGACTTGGTTTAAATTTATTATGGTTTGTATGAAATTTGACTATGGGATGGATGATCACTGTAATATTCAATGCAAAGAAACTGTAAAAGAAAAAAAAAAGAAAAGAAAAGAAAAAGAGACATTCACCAACCGGGACCGGAGGTGTAATACGTGGCAGCGCCTGGGCCCGTAGTCCCGGATTGGTAGTCGAACCGGGACTAGAGGAGGTTTTTCGACCGGGATTGAAACCCACTCCTACGCTACTAGTGGTAGCACGAGCCAATGAAGCCGCCCACACCTTCACTGGCTTCTCCTTCTTTGTAGTTTATTTTGCCACGGGGAGAAAGAGGAAGACTCAATGCTACATTGTTACACAGTGATGATATATATAGTGAATTTACCATCAGGTGAAGTTGATGCCATTGAAGCTCCGCCAAAGAGGGTCTTGGGCTCTTTCCCTCTTAGAAGCACTCTCTTGCCATGGACATGTATTGAAATTGAAAACAAGTTCTAAATATGTAAATTGGCAACAAACATAAGTTGGACATATGTATATTGGCTACAGATGATAGTATATCTTAGAGTTTTTTTTATCCTCAAAACAAGGTATCTAACCGTGCGACACAGGGGCGAGCGGAACCACTGCCATGCATGCGCCTCCGGCAGTATGGGTTGAAAACGTGGCCCAAGCCAGCACTGCGGGTTGAAAATATGGCCCAGGCACGAGCTTCGTGCCAAGCTGGGATAAGGCCGTGCTTTTTTTAGGACAGTGCCGATCCGTTGGGCCTGGCCCGTAACATCTCCATGGCTCCACACGTCAAGCTGGCTGGCTGACAGCGTGGCTCCACAGCGCTACGGAGCACACAATCCGCATCGATCCCCACCGCAGATTGCCCCCTCCGCGTGACTTCGGGTGTCGTCGCCGCGTTTTCTCCGGCTGAGGGCGGCGCGACCGGCAACCAGCGTTAGCGCGACCGGCGACATGACTCATATCCTTCCTAAACCCCGATTAGATCTGCGCGTAGGGGGACTCTCCCTCTAATCTACCTTTTGCTTTGTATATACGATCTCGATCTGTTTCGTTGTTTCGATTCTGTTATTGCCCTGTTCCTCCTTCCTTAACTCGCGCGCACGCGGCAACCAGCGTGACCGCGACCGTGAGCGCGCGGCGGCGCGGAAGCCCAACGGCAAGGGCCCTCAGGACGGGCTCACCCCGGAGCAGCGCCGCGAGAGGTGCGCTTAGTTGAATCTATTTTGTTCTGTTTGTTTTTGTTTGATTCGATCGTTCTCCGGCATGGCCAGATCTCGGTTCCTTGGTGCTGACCCTGTCCCGATCCGGTTGCCGGATCTTTGTTGCCAGGGACAAGAAGGCGCTGGAGGAGAAGGCGGCCAAGAAGGCGCAGCAGGCAGCGGCCGGCGGCACCGGGACCTCCACGGACAACAACAAGAATAAGGCAGGTGGCAAGAAGTAGGCGGCAGTGGCGCCCCGTCCACGCGCGCGCCGCCACCTCTGTACGATTATCGATCGATGCCTTTAGCTTGTAACTTGTTCGCATCCTCGTAGATGCGATGCTTGTTGGGTCATAAACTCGTCCTCTGTTACTCTGATATCGACATTTGGTGATGAGAATAAGTTCTGGTTTTGTGGGCTATTTTCTCTGCTCTTTCTATGGCTTTCTGTTATCTTCTTTGAGTGGTTGTCCTATCAATGGATGGGAATTCTCTTAATAACTAGTTTATTTAGAGGATGAATTAGCATGTGAAGGAGCTTTTACTTGTCATTGTGAACGATTGGAATATGATATGTCGAAATTGGAAATTAGATTATGCTGTTATGCTCTTCTATTTCTGCAATTCAGTTATTACCAAGCTAATATGAACTGCTCCCGCCCTCCTGAAATAAGTGCACATCTCACACTTCGATGAGTCAATCAATCTTTAAGTAGTTTGATCAAATATATATACACAAATAGTAATGTTTATGATATCAAACAAACAGACATCATTGGATTAATCACATAATATATTTTCATCATAGTATAAACCTATTTATTAGAGATACAATTGTCAATAATATTTTCTATAAATCTGGGATGGAGGGAGTACTTTCCTATGGTACACCAGTGTTTGAAAGCTCAACACATGTATGCTGTCAGTTATCGTTTAGATTAAAAATAGTGAATGCCAGCCCATGTCAAGTACTTACTGAATTTTAGCTAACCAAAAGTTTAAAAGTTATTTCTCATGAAATTCTAGCTTGCCGGCATGTGTTGCTACTTAATTATTGTTGGGTTATTGATAGCAAACGAGATAGTATCAAACTCCATCTGTTTCGAACTGTTAATATTTAAGTTATAATAACAATTTATAAACAATCTCACGTCAATCTATGTTTGAAAAATTGCAGTGACTCACGATGTAATTCCACTAGCCAGTCAAAATGTGCTCCTGTTGCTTTTACATGATTTTTCATACTCAAAATGTCTTCAATGCTTTTATTTCCAAGCTGAAAATGTATCCCTTTGTATTGTTTGAAGCATCGTGCATGCCTTAGCAATGTCTCATATCATTCGGTATAATATTGAGAATGTTACATTGAGGATGTGAATTGAAAAATCTTTTTGTTATATATCATTGTGATCTTTTCTCACCAGTAGTTCTTGTTATGAGATTCTCCACTCTGTGGATCCCCTTTTGTAAAATGGACCTGGTGTTGTTTGAATTAGCTCATCAGACTTTGGGGCTGTTCGCTTCTGATTTAAGCCGCTGTCTGTGCTGCGGCTGTACAGCCCAGCCGTTCGGCAGCCCAAACAGCGGCATTGGGTAAGCCTAGCCGTTCGGCTCCTGGCATCCTCCCCTCTATGCTACTATGATTCCTCTCGCTCTCTGTTATACGCGATGTAAATCCCGTCGCTCGGGTCTGGGTCCGCACATACCCCATCGGTGAGCACTCTTACTTATTCGCCCAGACGAGCCTCATCCTTTCTTGCATCTTCATATTACTGTGTTGCCATACTTCGACGTTTTGATTATGCAAATAGCTGCTGCTAACTTATTAATGCATACACATAGCTGCAAAGATGACTACTCGGACATAATTTTATCTATTGTCAAATATGCATCTAGCTGCGGCTACTTATTCAATGCATACAGCATATGCATACCTTCATAGATGACTACTCTAACGCAATTTTTACCTATTGGATCTGTACAAGCCATGGCCGACTAAATGCACTCCTACAGAACATGATTATTTTAAGAATAGAGTTGAAATTGCCAGCTTATGAACTGCCGGTTCATTTAAGAGAAAAGAATGCTGTGTTTTAACAGTACGATTTTGCTGTCCATGTTGTAGTAGTTGCTTCTAAACTGACCTCAAATTTTCTGTCAATTTACAGTTTCACAAAGTATTGTTGTTTAGTTTGGCGAACATGTACTACTATCGACTTGTATTTAATTGTGCACTGCATCGTAGACTCTTGAAAAACTTGAACATTTTGATTCCATAGAACATACATACTGAAAATCTGAAGCCTTGATTTAGCTTACTCTATGGCTCAATTGACATTGATAACCTTGTCCATTTAATAGTTTGGTTTGTACACTCCACAAAATGTGATCCAGTCTTCGTGTTTCTTCATTCATCCATGATTCTAGTTGATTCAATTGTCCATATTTTTTAATTTCTTTCATCTCTCCTGAAACCTGCTCCACGCAATACTGCTGCCTATTCTGGCTCTGGCATCTGGGTGCATTTTTTTTGTGGGACAAGATACACTGCAGGGCAATGCAAGTCTAACCACAAATTTGGGATTCAGATATTTCTCTTTCTAATCTTCTCATATTGATGTTCTGTTTTTTTTGTTGGCATGCTCCGTACTTTGGACAAAGCTTGCAGATATTGAAGTGAGCAAAATCAGCTCAGACTTGTACTTAAGGTGAACTCTGATTAGCCTTATTATCTGTCCTTATTAGCTTACTCTATTGCAGGACATAATACATGGACCTTTCATCTCGAGTTACAATATCAACAATTAATAATTCTGCCGCCATTGTGAATCATCTGTTTTTGGTCTCCTAAGATGTTACTACAGCAATAATGCCCATTTGCACAATTGCCTATGTATTTTTAGTTACATAGCTTGTGTTAATTATTGCAGTAGGATGAATACATGGTTTTCAGGAAATGGTTGAAGGGCAACTGGTACAGTTAAAGGTAAGAAGCTAGGAACGTGGAATTCAGAGGAAATTATACCCTTTGTTTTAAGCAAAAAATTGAATGTGTCCTGTATTTAATGAATATGAATTTAACCTGTAGAAAAATGCATAATATTGGCAAAGTGTCTGTCTAACAGGTTGCAAATCAGTTTGGGTTATGGTAATTCTGTTATCTAATCTATTGATCTCTGTGCATATCTATGCTATTTGAAACTATTTTGTTTCTTGATTTAGCAACCGTGTGATGATAATGACAAAAGATCTGACTATTGTCGGAAGAAGGAACCACCTGCTACTTATTTTATTACACAAGATATTTAAACATTACAACTGTATATCTATGCTAGTCTTATTACAACTCAACAGCTAAGTAAAGAGAATGTTTATAATTATTTTTATTTCGCATAGATTCTGAAATAGTTGTGTCGAACCACGATGTTTTTATTGTGAAGTGTTTCTTTCGTGCAATACGAACCAATCTTCCTATCAATCATTAGTGAATGTTTAATTTTTGTAGATTGTCAAGCACCGAACATTCCAGCAACACAAGTGGATCATCTAGCGACGAGCGGTTTACCTGGTGAGACATGGGTGGAGCCATAGATGTGTCAGCAGTGTCTGCATCTTCACGGTCTAGTGAATGTGGAGTAGAAGACAGTCGCTTGCCCTTCCAGGAGCTGAGGGTTCGCCAGTGGGCAACAGTAAGAAATACTACACAAATTTCTGTCTCTGGCCTCGTGCATTCCATTTGTTGCATAGGACGTTAGTGGCCAACCATGGGCTGAAATCTACACGGCAATGTGATTCCATTGAGGCCTTAGGGATGCACCTATGGGCATGTGGCACAAGACAGCCAAAGACAAATGGCAGAAAGATTTGGTCGGTCACTGGACACCGTTAGTAGGAAGTTTGGTGAAGTGTTGGGTGCCGTGGTATCTTTTGCACATACAATTATTAGGCCTAGGGATCCAACCTGATTTGTGCATCCTAAATTGCAACCATTCTCATCCTTTTTTGATGGATGCATTGGAGCTATAGATGGAACCTACATTCCAGTCTCAGTCGATGAGAATGTTTATGATGATTTCTTATACTGTGTCATTTCCATGGGACTCGGCTACTTTTAGTTTGAAAGGGTATTTCACAGGTTACCAAGGTTTGTTTCTTGATCCTGGAGTGCTTAGTAGTTGAGTTACGACTGCTCTGTTGGTCCTATAAGTCATTGTTGACAATTCCTAAGTTTTCGAGTTTACGTCATCAAGAGTGATACATTATATATTTGTTTCATGCTATATAAATAGATATCAAGTCATTGTTGACAATTCCTAAGTTTTCGAGTTTACATCATCAAGGGTGATACATTATATATTTGTTTCATGCTATATAAATTGATACAAGTCCAATTTCGAATAGAAAAGTCAGTTACAACTTAGGGCCGTTTGGAACAGTAGGATGTGGTCTAGTTTCCAGGATCTTTATAGCCCAGGTTCAGGATGTGCAGCAGCCCAATAAAAGTGTTTGGATGTGCCACGGATCCATAAGGGGTATTTGGGCGGAAAAAGAAAATATCTTGTGTAGGTAATTTTTTTCTTCCTGGAGTTGTCAAGGTGTCGGTTTGTACATCTCCAAGATCAGCGTGAGGCGCTGCATCGGCAGAATCAGAACTGGAGAACCGACAGAAGAGAGGAAGCCCTGCTCTGAATTGGAGCTCCGCCGTCTTCACCGGCCACCGTCGATCTTCCAAGCTCTGTGCGCACCCTCTTCTCGTCCATATCTCCCTTCTCTCTCTCGACCCTCCACTCCCAAGTAGGGCCGATCTGCAGCCATCGTCTACCTCTCTTCCAATTGAGCAGCAGGTGAGCTCCATCACATCTCCATCTGCCTCCCCTAAACGCCAATTTCCCTCCTCCCCCCCGGGTGCACGTCCCTTCCTGATAACCCTCCCCAAGTTCGCAAGCCGCCCATGGCGCACCCTTTGCAGATCCACTTGCTGCAAGAGCCACAAAATGGAATTGAAGCGGCATCCATTCTCTGTCTCACAAAATGGAATTGAAGTGGCATCTGGTCTGTCTCTCTCCTGATGGTTTCCTTGTCGTGAGTGGTGCCTTGATTCGGCTCGCCGGTGAAGCAGCAAGGAGCCGCCATACCCTACAGTGGCACATGGGGAAGTCTGGCTGTTTTTAGGATACTAATCATGTCCGCCAAACAATCATCCAGATCCTAGACCTATGTGCACATAATTTCCTAGGCATTGATATTCCTTTGAAGATAATTTTCCTAAATTGCCAAGCAGGCCCTTACAAGGATGACTCATGTACTCAACTGCGATGTAGGTGGAGAGGGAGTGCCATATACAGGGCTGTAATGTAATACCTTGCTTGAAATATTTTCCTAGTACATGAACACGACCTTTTCCCAAGTACTTTAAGCTAAAATTGATCTATGGGAAAACCATTTGGATTCTTATAGTTGCTTGAAATCTTTTAGTTGTATGATCATTCCATTTAGTAATAGTCCAAGTCAAAAAATGATTCCTGGTGAATACTTGATCTGTATGGGAACAGCAAAAGATCTGAATCAATTTTGCTTTTGTATTTCATCAATTCTGGATTCTGACATCTCGAAGTTGATATTTATTCATAGTTTTATCTGAATACACCATGCAAGTTTGGTGGATTACTAATATTATGCACCATTTATAGTTATTTTGTTTGATGTTAAGTTAGCTCTTAAATTTTATTGTGCAATGTCCATTGTCCAGATTGCCTTTTTCTTTAAAAATCTTTACTAACATGAACATGTTGTATTATCTCTCCAGGACAGGCAACAGGCTGTTGGAATATGGACCAACAAGGCATGGATGGCCATGTAAGAATTCTCTCTCAGAATATAACCGCATATATAGGTACCCAATTTTTCCTGGCTAACTTATGATGGCTAACCATGATTCAGGAAGGGGTCCACGTTGTTGGATTTGAAGTCCCACCTTCACCCGATTTCTAGCTACAGCAACCCTATTCCTGGAAATGAAGGTGAAGGGCGGGAGCCCCCACTGGTGCCACCTCATCTGCAGCTTACGCTGGCTGCTGAGCTTCCCACCAAGCCAAGACGAATCAAGCCCGCTGCCTCAACCTCAGACTGTGGTTCTGAACCACCTTTACATCGAGAAAGGGAACACAAGATCCGTGGTTGCTCTGGGGATCACGCACCGGTTCAAGGCCAAGTTTGTGACAGTAGTGCTTTGCAAGCCAGTGCCGAGGCGGTAGGGTGTGGCTATATATCCTGTGCCTCCTGCTTTCTCGTGCAGGATTGGTGATGGTGATGGTGATGGTGATGGTGATGGGGGGGTGTTTGTTTTCACGGACTAAATTTTAATCCCTGTCACATCAGATGTTTGGACACTAATTTGAAGTATTAAATATAGACTGATTACAAAACTAACTACACAGATTGAGACTAATGTGCGAGACGAATCTATTAAGCCTAATTAGTTCATAACTTGACAATGTGGTGCTGCAGTAAATATGTGCTAATGATGGACTAATTATACTTAATAGATTCATCTCGTAAATTAGTCTCCATATGTGTAATTAGTTTTATAAATAACTCATGTTTAGTCCTCCTAATTAGCATCCGAACGTCCCGATGTGACATGGACTAAAGTCTCCCCCTTAAACACCTTTGGGTTGCGACCCACCGATGAACAAATAGAATCCAGCCTCCTCTCCTGTTGAGCAGATATTCTGCAGAAACAGAAGTCGCCCCTGTTGTAGCAGTGGAGTACTTGTGATCTGCGCAGATTAACACTCAGCTTAATATGCTATGCGTGTGGACAGGACAGATGGATCGGTGGTGGAATGACGACAGATGCGCATGCGTGAACAATCATGGTTGTGGTTGGGACGAACTGACGATTGACGAAAAGCATCCATCTTGTTTTGCTTGACAGAGAGAGCTGGGAGCCTGGGACAGTGGATATATGGATATGGATCCTCCACCACCACCACCAGGCACCAGCAATCCAGCATCTATTCTACTGCTGCTCGTGCTCGGAGCTGTGTGTGTCTGAGCTTCCCTGCTCTGGCTTCCGGTTGTGCTGGGACTGGACTTGCAGTGGGAGAATTAATTAATGGGACAGAGTGATTGCGAATGCGACCGACCCTCTAGTGGTGAGCAGGATAAGGAGTATGGTACACCATCTTCATCATTCATTCAGCAGCAATAGTTGACCATGATGAGTGATGACCTGAGCAGAGCACTGAGCATTCAACGGTGCTATAGCAAGGAAGGAAGGAAGGAAGGAAGGAGTCTGGTACTGGACTTTGGAGTCACAGTGGAGTGAGTCGTGAATTCCACCGCATGGGCATGGCAAAGCCTTGGATCGGATCCATGGACGACATGATGCACCGCCAACTCCAAGCACCAGCCTGCCAAAGCCACAGCAGCAGCAGCTTCCTCGGCGTCTCCTGCCTCTTCTTCTTCTTAGCAGCCATCTACTGCATCGTGATCACCACCACCTCTAATAATAATAACAATAGGCTCATCAGACGACTCCTCGGATTCAAAGGGTTCAAAGGGAGGAGGAGGAAGAATGATCATGATCGTCGGGACTACAACGAGAATAATGCAGATGCACCACCGGGACGGGGGTGGTGGTGGTCCGTCGTGGAGACGCTGGCCTTCGTGTCCGCCAACAGCAGCGGCAGGGGCTTCTACCACTTCGTGGAGGCGCGCCACCGCAGGTACGGTCCCCCCTGCTTCCGCACCGCGCTCTTCGGCGCCACCCACGTCTTCGTCTCCTCGCCCGACGCCGCCAGGTCGCTCCTGGCCGCCGACCACGCCGCCGGCTTCTCCAAGCGCTACGTGCGCACCGTCGCGGACCTCCTCGGCGAGCACAGCCTGCTGTGCGCCTCCCACGCCGCGCACCGCGCCCTGCGCCGCGCCGTCGCGCCCCTCTTCAACGCGCAGGCCACGGCGTCCCTGGCCGCCAACTTCGACGCCCTCACGCGGAGGCTCATCAAGCGCGACTGGATCACCTGCAGCACCGTGGTCGTGCTCGACGCTGCGCTCGACATAACTTTCGAGGCCATCTGCGACATGCTCATCGGGAGGACGACGCTGCAGCCCGACGTCAAGAGGCAGCTTCAGAGCGACGTGCTGGCCGTGACGCGGGCCATGCTGGCGTTCCCGCTCAGGCTGCCGGGCACCAGGTTCCACGCGGGCCTCCGGGCGAGGAAAAGGATCATGGAGGTGCTGAGGCAAGAGATAGCCTCCAGGCAGAGACGGATCATGGACGACATGGAGGAGGAGGAGGAGGACGACGACGATCACCATCATCATCACAGCAAGCACGACAACGACTTTCTGCAGAGCCTTCTTCTTCTCAGGAGGAGGAGGAGCCAGCAGCAGCAGCTCCTGCAACTGCGACAACAGTCACCATCGAACGAGGACCTCTTCCTCACTGACGACCAGATTGTCGACAACATCTTGACGCTCATCATTGCCGGTATGGCTTACATGCATACTAGTACTCCGTGTTTGTTAAATAACAGTTTGCATGTGCATGCTCTTATTAATTACTATATTATAAAAAATAACAGGCCAGGTTACGACAGCAAGCGCAATTACATGGATGGTCAAGTACCTGGCTGACAACAAAGACTTTCAAGAAACCTTAAGGGTACGGTGGGTTGGTCAGTCAGAGTCAGTCAGTCCAAATGAAATGAAATGAATGTCGAATCTGAATGTGTTCTTATATAATATGGCAGGCAGTATATATGCTTGTAGCTCCATTTTCTTGTTGTTGATGCAAACTGAAGCACAGGTTGTACTATTATGCATGCAGTCGGTTCAGCTGGAGCTGGCACTGAAGCACAAGGCCGATGGGGATGCGGATGCGGATGCCCCCCTCACGCTCCAACATCTCAACAGCATGGAGCTTGCATACATGGTCGGTCTCCACTCCAGATAGCCTCAACATCCACAATTATTATTTGTAAATCTGATAATATAATATACAGAGTATATATGTAATCTGGATATATTCTTGCTGCATGCATATGCATCATATCATCTATCGTAGACGGTGAAAGAATCATTGAGGATGGCGAGCATAGTTTCCTGGTTTCCAAGGGTAGCACTCGAGGACTGCCAGGTTGCAGGTATCCATCAATCCACTCTTCCATTTTTATCTACGACCTGCTCATTTCATTCATTTTCATTTTCTGAAATTTATGAGATGTGTGTGTATTGACAAACAACACAAGCACTACATACAGGGTTTCACATCAACAAGGGGTGGATTGTGAACATCGATGCGAGGGCACTACACTATGATGCAACGCTTTACGACAACCCCACCATGTTTGATCCTTCAAGATTCAAGGTAAAGTTAGTTAATTAATTTTAGGTCGTTCAACCCCTACCATATACACACTATATATGATGAAACGATTTGATTATCTAGCACGCTGCACTCGTATGAACAGGGGGAGGATATGTATACGAAGCAGCAAGCTCCGTACAGCTTCCTGGTGTTCGGAGCAGGCGGGAGAACCTGCCTGGGGATGAACCTCGCCAAAATCATGATGCTCATTTTTCTGCACCACCTTGTTACAAATTGGAGGTAATTAAGGAGCTCAGGAGTAGAATAGTATTTAGCACACAGCAGGCAGCAGCAACAATGAATTGAACGAATACACAACAAACTGATTGATATATTCTCTTATGATTGCAGATGGGAGATGGCCGACGAGGACCCAAGCCTTGAGAAGTGGGCAATGTTTCCCAGGCTCAAGAGCGGATGCCCCATTCACCTCACACCCATATCAGATCGGCCGGATCAGCCAATGCACGCAACAAGAAGCTAGCTAAGGTGATCACGCACGCATGCCCTCTGCCATGTACGGGAAATTAAGACAAGAAAATAATGGATCGGATGTGTATGTAGTACATACTCGTATAATAATTAATTAAATTAAATGCTCCCCCATAATACAAGACGTGCTTTATTTTTCACCAGTTGATCACCTTTGTGTATGATCTGGTGATGATGAGTGTTTTGAGCAATAGAGTAGACACACAATTAGCTCTCCTCAGCGTGATTTTTGGGCCGCTGTTGCTCATCCTCCTATTTAGTACGTTTGGCGGAGTCAAGAAGTTGGGTATGGGTATAGAGCGGCTCATAGAGCAGCTCCAATGTATCCCCCCACCCCGGCCAAAAAAAAGGAGCAACACCAATGTACCTGCTACCACATGCTAAGAGATAGAGAATCTCCAATAGTTTTTGTAAAACTCACTCTCTAAATCATCATTTGGAGAATCATTCGCATAAAATTTGTTTCTCTATATCTTTTCATTCTTCAATAGTTTTTCGATCTTTGTTTGCACTCTAGAGAGTCATTCCCGTTTTCTATTTTTAGCTAGCGAGAAATCTAGAATAGAAGAGATAACCAAATAGAGAAGTTGTCGGAGGGTTTTTTTATCAAAATCTCTATTCCTAGTAATTAAGAAGGATACATGGAGTCTCTTAGAGTTGCTCTAACACTCCAGTAGGACTCCTACTCATACCTCTATCCTACATTTAAGAGCCAAGAGGGGGGGAAATCACTTCTGCAGGGTCCCTACTCTGGCCCTCAAAAGTAGGAGACCGTCAAATCTCCCCCTCAAGTCCTCATTTTTTGGAGGTCTAGAGGGAGCCCCTACTTTTCTGTTTTGATGGTTCATCTTCCTGCCCCGTTCGGAATCGCTCGCCCGAGCGCAACATGCTGCCGCCTGACACCTGGTCCTTCGCCCGGATCCCATCCCCAATTCCTCTCGGGGGCGTTGAGATGGACGAGATCTACCCCGGGCCCCCAACTCCTTTCGACAAGGTCGCGTTTGGCTCCTCTTAGCGAGGTCGCGGCCAAGCCTCGCCCGTTGCAGCTCCCCACTACTTCCCTGCCTCTCGAGGTCGGCTTCCTCCTCCAATTGCCACTTTACTTCCCTCTCCTGACTCCAGTGGCCGCCTCCCCCTCCTCTGATTCTCGGTTCCCTTCTCTCTCCCGACGAAGTTCCTTTCCCTCTCCCGACAACCTCTCTCAATGAGGCGTGCGACCAGTGCTCTTCCTCCCTCGAATACCAGTGTTCTAGCCGAGGAAGTCATTGACAAGCGGGTCCCAGGTGTCATTCTCTGTTGGAACGAACTTGAGGACCACTGCTAGAGTGCAGCCCGGAAAATAGGGCCCTCAAAAGTGGAGGAAGAGAAAACCCTCAAATAAAAAGTAGGAACCTTGTTTTGACATGCACCACTAGAGTTGCTTTGGTGTAAGAGAGAGAGAGAGAAATAAAAAAATGTAACAAAGTGAGATGCTAGTGAGGAATCTTTTGGAACTACTAGTTTTCTACTTTTGCACCTGGTGTCAACGTTAAACAAATAATTTCCTCTCTCACTCACTCTCCCGTTCTCAAATCTACCAGACATCAGAGCTATTTTTGATAAGCCCGTGTTTAGTGGGGGAGAATTTTGGAATTTGGTTACTGTAGCACTTTCATTTTTATTTGACAATTAGTGTTCAATCATGGACTAATTAGGCTCAAAACGTTCGTCTCGCAATTTCCCACCAAATTGTGTAATTAGTTTTTCTTTTATCTATATTTAATGCTCTATGCACGTATCGCAAGATTCGATGGTATAGATACTGTAACACTTTTTGGGAAGTTATTTTGAAACTAAACACGGGCTAATTTAGTGTCTTCGTTCATGTGGCAAGGTTTGCATCTCCTCACGAGATTGTACAAACAGGCCTTAAGGGCATCCCAGGAGTACTAGAAGTCGCTAGCTGAAGTGGCTCTGAGAAAGAATAAAAAGCAAAAAAAAATGGTAACATCAAAGGGTGTACGCAAAAAAAATCAAGAGAGAGCAAATTGAAAGTTTCTTGAGAAGGCACGAGCCCAGCGACCGTTGGCTCACTAGCGAGATACTTTCGGCACTCTCTCTCCTATGTACTTCCTGCTTTTGATTTATTATATATCTAGACATATCATAAATTTAGATGTATAATAAAATTTATTGTCGAGGACCAATACTAGGGTACTCGAAGAGGAGGAGCTAATGACCATCAACGCTGATTCGTCCACGCAATCAAGAGCGCGACTACACCGCTTGCCGGGTCCCGCCTCGTCCGGCCACCGAGGCGGTGGGCCCTGCCTCGTCTGACCTCCGAGGGTTGGCTCCGCCTCGGTGGGCGCTGCGGCCGCGGGCTCTGTCTCGCCCGATCCTCGAGGGTTGGCTCTACCTCGGCTGACACCCGAGGGATGGCTCCGTCTCGCTCGACTCCTGAGGGCTAGATCCGCCTCGCCCGACGTCCAAGGGCTGGCTCTGCCTCACCCGATGTCTGAGGGCTGGCTCCGCCTCGCCCGACGTCTAAGGGTTTCGCCTCGCCCGATGTCTGCGCGCGGCTACTTTATAACGACGCACGCAGATAAGACAGGGCACTCAAGTCACCCGCAATACCGAGGACCGTACCCTGCACGTCTGCAGGAAAGTACCGTCAGGCCATACCAGAAGGGTGTTTTGTGACCTTTCAGGCATGTCAGAGCCTAAACAGTGTTGTAGGCGTCGACATTTGCCTTACAGTGTTGTGGGCGCCGTCAATTGCCCTCGGGCACGAATCCTTACGGAAGCTCACGACAATCACTACGGTCCAGAAGGAAACTCGCATTATCCACAGTAACGGACGTGTGGTCACTATGTTGCTTGCTCCCTGTATGGCTGTTGATCAGCACCCTGGTCCACCGCGCCGCCCATCAGGGCGGGATGGGACATGACAACTCGCTGACAATATCAGGACATGGCATCGTCAGCGAACAGATGCCCAACGCGGCCCTGTCAGGGTCAGCGGACATGTGCCCGGCGTGGAGCTATCCCTATCACCGCCTGCATGTCAGCGGGGCCTGCATAGAGGAATAGGAAGACCCAGCGTCCTTGAAGAACTTCCTTTGCCTTTGGTTTTCCTCTTTTCTCCCATCTGTAATCCCTGCTCTCTCTTAGCCTATAAAAGGGAAAGCAGAGCACCCCCACTAAGGAGATGGATTCATTACATCACGCATCACGCCACATCACAGCAAAACCACTAACGTCGAACCTCGAACACATAGCTGAGCAGCAACCAAGCTCTCGGCACCCATTCGATCTTTCCATCAGAGACTTGGGACCTGTCCTTCTCTTGCCTATTTGTAACCCCTACTATGAACTTTTCAGTGCTAATAATATAAGCAGCTGCCACGAACTAGACGTAGGGAGATTCTGCCTGAACTAGTATAAACCCTGTGTCTTTTGAGCACACCATCCGGGCCAGACGTGCAACAACACAAATTTACTTGTTGGTGTTTACTCGAAATACCGACAGTTGGCGCGCCAGGTAGGGGACTTTGCGCGTCTCGACATTAACATTAGGCCATGGATGGCTAGCCACGGCATCAGCTGGGCTCTAGGCGCACACGTGCGTTTCGGGGACCTGGACTTCATCGTCACGGCAGAGGGAGAACTGGCGCGGGCGCCTGTCGTCGTTCAACCCTTCCATTCCGCCAGCCTCGACGCAATCACCGAGATGATCGAGAAGCTATGGCTGCATGCGCCAGAGGCCCGCGCTCCTAGAAGCGGCCGGCTCCTCAACTTCGACTACGGAAGGTTGGAGCGTTAGCTCGATGTCTTCCTGGGACCCCAACCATCCTGGTAGGACCTGCGCCACCTCACCTTCTCGTGCGCTAATGTCATGGCACAACTTACCGGGGGAGAGCCGTTCTCCCCGGAATACCTCATCCAGAGCGCCCCTACAGTGCTCCCGTTCGATCTCTACAACGTCGTAGAGACCGTTGGCCACCTTGTGGCGCAACGCATGGTCCCAACCCTCGTGAACAATGAGTTCATGGGAGTAATCGAGCACATCATGGAGTCTTTCCACGACCTCCTTGTAGAGGAGCCGAAGTCTCCCTCTGGCTCTGACTCCAGCAGGGGAAGCCATCACCCCTCTCGTGAATGTTTCATAACAAGTACCCTCGAGGGACACGTCGAAAGCATCCACGAGGAGGAGGCTACCCCGGTGAACGACCTCGATGACAAGGCCGAGGGAGAGACAATAGGCCCACCTCGAATGCGGGTGGAGCAGCTGAAAACCCAACACCGAGAAATTGAGGAAGCGTGACTCCAGCTCGAGCAGGAATGCACGGAGCTCAATCGGGAGATCGAGCGCCACTAAGACGGTGGGCGCGCACGCACCATGGCCCGCGATGTGAACTGGAGGATCATCGCCGACGAGGAAGCCCTCCCTCGCTTCGCTCGGGCAAGCTAGAACATCGCCGCTGTGGCAGCCTTGCTTCGTGGTCTTCCAGAAGCCACGATGCCTGAGGATCATTGGGCCCACCATGAGATTCGCATGCTGCTTGAGCCTTCAACGGCGCAGCAGACCGAGAGCTCGCTGTCTCGATGATGCGAGCTCGACACCAGCCAACGCATGCCCTCAGAGCGCCCCGGCAGGGACGCGACAGTCCACCAAGAGACACACGGAGGTAGGCAACGCACCACGGTCCTGGTGCATCAGCATCTCAGCCGCAACCGTAACGCCCACAACACCCTCGACGCTCGCAGGCGTACTTACAATGACTTGAGAGAGGGAGCTAGCCACGGCTATCACCCTCGTCGTGGCGGACGCTACGACAGCGGCGAGGACTAAAGCCCGAGCCCCAGCCTGCCAGGGCCTCAGGCCTTCGGCCGACACATCCTCAATGCTATGTTCCCGACAAAGTACCAACCGCCAACCAACATCCTAAAGTACTCTGAGGAAACAAACCCAAGACTATGACTCGAGGATTATCGGCTTGCCTGCCAAGC